GGGAAGCCGAGTTGATTGGTGACCAGGAGGGCACAGGCCCAGGGGACAGGGACTGGCTCAGCCCTGGCTCTACCACTGACATGCGAGACAGGCCTTAGAGGACAGAGACTGTCCTCTAAGCCTCGGTTTCCCCGCCTGTTGAATGGGGCGATCTCCATGAATACCCACAGGGTGGGCCTGAGCCTTCAAAGGCCTCACCTGCCGAAGCACCTGCCCAGGTGGGAACCTGGGCCCAGGGGCTGCTGAACCCCAGGAGCGCTGGGCCCCAGGGCAGGGACAGCGGTCTCCTTCTCCCTACCCTTTGGGATCATGAAGCATCATTGCCTTGGAATTTCCCCGGCAGGATGTCCCTAAGTCTGCGGTCGGGCCTGTCACAAATTCCCAATGAGAGGCAGACGTCGCTGTTGTTGTCTGCGCTCCTTCAGGTCAGGCTCACAGAAAAGCCTTTGGCTGAGTGTCTGCTGAGGGGACAAGTCCTGAGGTTCCGAGGTCATCGGGTGCCTCATCTTTTTTTAATTTATTGATTTTAGAGAGAGAAAGGGGGACAGAGAGAGAAACGTCGATTTGCTGTTCCACTTATTGATGCACTCATTGGTTGATTCTTGTACGCGCCCTGACTGGGGATTGAACCCGCAACCTTGGCGCATGGGGATGACGCTCCAACCAACTGAGCTGCCCAGCCAGGGCCCAGCAGCCTCATCTTATTGCCAAACCCAGGGAGTGTTTTCCGTCGGTGTTCACTATTACTTTTGTTATTATTCTTTGCTCGAAACTTGTGTGCTCTTATCGGATGGCCATCTTGGAGGTTGTTATCACTATCAGCTGCTGGACCCAGAGCAAGTGGCTTCCTCCCTGAGACTCCGATTCCCCACCAATAGGTTGGAATCATCCGGGAGGAATTCTAGGCTTTCCAGAAAGGCCAGCCGCCTAGCAGGGTAACCGGGGGCAGATTCCACCATGAAGATTTTTGTTCTGGGCCCTGCGAATAGTCCTGAGCAGGCCACGTTCACGATCCTCTGCTTCCACTCTCTCTCTGGATGTTCCGCTAGAGCATCCTCGCTCCCAGGAGAAGAGAGAGAGAACACAGGGAAGCCCGGCTGGGGGCTGGGAGAACAGGGCCGTGGGGAATTCAGGGTCGGAATCCCCGGTCTCCACCCGCATCCTGCGTGTGAGCCTGGGCAAGTCTCAGTGCCAGGGCCTGAAGAGGTCCTCGCCAGTAAAACGGGAACATAGCAGTAGTACGGTCCCGACCGCCCTCGGTTGTGCGGGGAACTCGGGGACGTCCGCGCAGAGAAGGCCTGGGCAGGAGTTACCTATGGCTGTGTAACAAATCACAAACAGTAAATGTTTCTGCTGTCATGCAGTTTCCGAGGGACCAGAATCCAGGAGCAGTGCGACTGCAGGGTCCTGGCTGGGGGAAGTCGCGGCGTGGGGCGGGGGGGGGGGGGGGGGTGGCCCTCACGCCGCCGTGCTCAGGCGTCCCCCGAGGCTGCAGCCATGGGAGGGCTAGGCTCAGGGCTCCTTCCAAGGCTGTTGGCCCGAGGCCTCAGTTCCTCGCCACACAGGCCTCTCCACAGGACGGCTAGGGCGTCCGCCAGACGGGGAGCCAGCCTCGGGGGGCGCACTGCCGTTTCTGGGATATCCTGTGGGCTGGCGCACACGTCAGCCCTGCTCAGTGGGAGGGACACCGCCTAGGACACCAGGAGATGCCCATGACTTCATGCTGGTTTTGCTTTTATTACTATTATCAGCGCTGAGCTTCCCCGTTGCCTCTCTTTCGGGTCCTACATAATCTTAGTGCACTTTCCCCTTGTTTAGTTTCTCACTAAACTAACCCTGGACGCCTTGTTTCTCCTCCAACAAGAATAAACACGATTCCAGCCTCCAGGCCTGTGCACCTGCTGTGCCCTCAGCCTGGAGAAGCAGCCCGGGCTGAGAGCGCGCGGTGGCCGCCACGGAGCTCTGCACGGGCAGCCCCAAGGCCGCCCCTTACTGAGAGGTCTTCCGACCTTAATTAGACACCTCGCCTTCCCCCCACGCCCCATCCTTGTGCGATTGCCCCCATTTAATTTTCCTCCGAGTTCTTGAAACTCTCTGAAGGCATTTTGATCCTCTAAAGAAAAACCTAGTTCTTGGCTCAGTGTCTGTTTCTCCGACTTGAACTTGGAAGTTCACTCCCAGCACCAGGGGGATGCTGCGTGTCTTACTTCTTGTTACGTCCCTCGTTCCTAGAGCTGGTAAACTCTTGAAAAATCGTCCCCGAAGGGACAGGAGAACCTCAATTTCTAATAAATAGGACTCCCCGGCCAAGTGACAGGCAGGAGGGAGGGGCCCGTGAGGGGAGGGAGAGGTGGGCGCGGAAATAAATATCCATTTTTTTATTGATGTACTTCTTTTTCAAGTATTTATTGGGGGCGCTGCGGAGACGGCAGGGACGGAAATAGAACTAGTCCCTGCACTCAGGGAGCTGACAGAGCCAGGGGAGGCAGGCAGGCAGGCAAACTTATGTGTGTGTCACACTCAGTATGTGCGAGGTCCTGAAGAACAGGAGAGGGGAAATGAGTGCGTGTGTGCGTGTGTGTGTGTGTGTGTGTGTGTGTGTGAGAGAGAGAGAGAGAGAGAGAGAGAGAGAGAGATGGGGGTGGGAAGGGCAACCCTGGAAGGTTATATTGGAGCTGAAACCTGGAGGAGGAGGAGTTCGCTGGGGAGGGGGGACTTGGGCGGGGGGGGGAGGGGGGGGGGGGCGGAGGGGGCGCGGGGGCAGGGACAGGCATTCCCGGCTCAGGGAGGAGCTCCTACCAGGGTCCTGAGAAGCTGCGAGGTTTTCTGAGGAATCTTAACGAGGGCGACAGGGGGCCATGGAAAGGTTCTCGTGTTTGTTTCCTTTTTTTCTTTTCTTTTCTGTCCTTTTCTTTCTTTCTTTCTTTCTTTCTTTTTTTTTAAGGATTTATTGTTGCTTTTGTTTTTTAAAACATTGCACACATTCATGGTTAAAAAGTTACCCAGCCCCAGCCTGTGCGGCTCAGTTGGTTGGGCATCATCACTCCAGACAGCGAGGCGTCGCGGCGCGGTCCCCAGCCAACGCCTGCGCTGCGAGTCCAGTCCCCCCCCCCGCCCCCGCCCCCCCCCCCGCCGCCCTGCCCCCGGTCAGGATGCGTACAGGAGGCGACCGATCACTGTTTCTCTCTCACGTTGCTGTTTCTCTCCCTCTCCCTCTGTCTCCTTGCTCCTCTCTCTAAAAGCAACCGGGAAAAAAATGTCCTCGAGTGAGAATAAAAAAAAAAACTTTTCCAGAATGTGAAAACAAGGTCTGGATACAGCTCACCTCCTCAGAGGCGGCCACTTTTACCCTCTCGTGTCCTTTCTGGAAATGTCCTATGCCTGGACCAGCTAATAATAATAATAATAATAATAATGCATAATCACTGCCTTGTTTTAAGAATTGCAAATGGCTATGCTGTACCCCTGAAATGAATACATTGAATGTCAACTGTAATTGACATTGTTTCAAGTTCTTAAGTAAAATAAAATAATAAAATAATAAAAATCACAAACGGTAGTATGCTATACACACTGTTCAACCCCACATTTTCCTTTGAACATACAATATGGACTCTATGTGGATATATTATCTAACTTACATTATAACGCTTTGGTGGTATGTGGTCTCTAAAATACACACACACACGCATGCTCCCACACACCCCTATTTTCAAATGTAATTTTAACATATTTTAAAACCTCTCAAACACATATATAATAAACATGAGTCGAAGATTTATTTAAGTCATTGGGAACCGGCTATTTTTGAGACAAGTTCAAGGAACAGAGGCGGATACAGCTACGCCCCCATGTAATCATGCATACATACAATTGCACACATGTGCATCTGCACACACACACACCCGCCCCTTCGTCCACTCATCTAGTCACACACACACACAGGCACCTTCATCTGTCCAGTGCCCACCTACAACCTGATAGGTCAAAAATGCGCATGGAAGGTCATCATTTGAACTTTTTTGGTTTTAATCCTCACCTGAGGACATAGTTATTGATTTTAGAGAGAGGAAAAGGGAGAGACAGAGGGAGAGAAACATCGATGTAAGAGAGAAATTTCGATCAGTTGCCTCCCATATGCACCTGGACTGGGGACCGAACCAGTAACCTAGGTATGTGCCCTGAGTGGGGATCAAACCCGCAAGCTTTTGGTTTACGGGTCGACGCTCCAACCAACTGAGCCTCCCTGGCCAGGGTCGCCCAGGTGTTTGATGTGACCTTCCCTTAGGGTGGCCAAGCAGCTCAGTGTGTCTGGGACTCTCCCAGGTGTGGCCCTGAAGTCCCACATTCTAGAAAACCCCCTGTCCCAGCCGGCCACGCTACTCTCCGTGATTCTGCATGAGGCTGAACATCTTTGCCGAGGTCAAAGAAGGAAAGGTTTGAAGAGGGAAGTGACAAGATTAGATTTTTTTTTAATCCTCACCCTAGGATGTGTTTATTGTTTTTTAGAGAGAGGAAGGAAAAAAGAGCGAGAGAGACAAACATCAATGGGAGAGAGAAACATTGATCAGTTGCTTCCCAAATATGCCCCAACTGGGGATCGAATCCGCAGCCTAGTCATGTGCCCTGACCGGGGATCAAACTCTCACCCTTTTGATGTACAGGACGATGCTCCAACCACCTGTGCCATTCGGCCAGGGCAGGGTCAGACGTTCCTAAAGGACGGAGTAGGAAGAAAAGCTGTGCTTTACAATGTCCATGACAGCTTCAGCTCTGCTTTATGGGGCCTCAGTGAAACTTTGAGGGCCCTGAGCAGCGGGCCGTGTTTATAGGTGGAGAAACCGAGGCACAGAAGTCCAAGGTCACGTACCTGAGAAGAGGCTGAGGCAGGATTCGAACCCAAGCCTTCCTGTCCCCGCGAGGTAGCTGGGGGCTGTGGGAGCGCTGCCCGCCCTTCCCTTGCAGGCCCGCCGGCCTGGGCCCCAGCGTCCGCGACCACCATGATGGCGTATGTGAACCCGGGGCCGCACTACTCCGTCAGCGCCTTGGCCCTGAGCGGCGCCGGCGGCGTGGACCTGATGCACCCGGCCGCGTCCTATCCGAGTGAGTACAGCCCTTCCCCCGCCTTCCCCCTGCGGGCCGCCTTTGGGGCCTCTGGGGAGCCTTGCCCTCGGGAAGAAGACGGCACAGCACGGACAGGGTGACATGAGGGCCACACGCAAGGCAAAAGGCCACTCCACGTTGCAGGGAGAAAAGCGTCCGGACTTCCATAGAGATTTAGGAGAGCGGTGGCGTGGGAGTGGGGAGAGCGGTCTGGAAGGTGGGCCGGAGAAATTCCCATCTGTCAGCAACGCTTTCTTTCCAAGAGACGACGTGAGGTCTCCGTTTTTTGTGGGGGGCATTATTTTTTAGCTGGGTTTTTTTTTTTTTTAATGTTTCATTAAATTGAATATTACAGACCTGCCACTTTGATAGGCTAGAAATGGTTGCATATCCACAATGTCATGCTTTAGTGCCTAAGACATTTTAGAAAGGGGGCTAAAATCAAATCCGTACACCTCCTTACAAGGCTAACGCCAGCTCTCCTCGGGGTGAGGCATGCGCCCCGGGAGGACAGGCAAAGAGGGACCCGTTCCCCGGGGGGCAGAGGCGGGTCTGGAAGGTCAGGGCAGACGGACACCCTCAGGGCCTCGCACCAGCTGCAGAAGAGAACGGGAGGCCGGGGTCGTCTGCGAGTCCCACCTTCCTGCCCCTACCCAGGCGCCCCGAGGAAGCAGCGGCGGGAGCGGACCACCTTCACGCGGAGCCAGTTGGAGGAGCTGGAGGCGCTGTTTGCCAAGACCCAGTACCCGGATGTGTACGCCCGCGAGGAGGTGGCTCTGAAGATCAATCTGCCCGAGTCCAGGGTTCAGGTGCCACGTTCTGGTCCCCAGGCCCGTCCCAGCCCTTCCTGGGACCCAGAGCCATGGGAGGAGGGAGGGGTCACAGAGGGTCCGCCGCGGTCAGAAAGGACCCTAAAAATTCTTCACTGGCCTCGTCTCTTATCACTCTCACACGTCCCCCTGGTGTCCCCACGGATTCGTCCTCTAACACGCCTGCCACACGCACTCCTGCCTCAGGACCTTTGCACTCTCTGTTCCCTCTACCTGGAACGTTCACTCCCCCACATTTTGTTCAAGATCTCTACCAACCAAGCAAATCGCCTTGCCAGTCAATGTGACCTATACCAACAGTCGAATTTAAAATTGCAATCTTGCCTGACTGGTGTGACTCAGTTGGTTGAGCATCGATCATCGAAGAGAAAGTTCGCCAGTTTGGTGTCCATCCCAGGGCACATGCCTGGTCGCAGGCCGGTCCCTGGTTCGGAATCTGTGCAACATATTGTTTCTCTCACACGCCAGTGTTTCTCTCCCTCTCTCCCTCCCTTCCCCTCCCTTCCCCTCTCTCCAAAAATAAATAAATAACAGTCATTAAAGTTGTGATCTTTCCCCCTCCCTCCCACTCTTCTGCTCCCCCTTATCATGTTCAATGGGTTCTTCTATAGTATTTACCACCTTCTAAGTACATGTGATGTACTTGCTTACTGTTTGCTATAATCTATCTCAAGTAGAATGTCAGCATCACTGATGTAGAAGGCAGTTAATGCATGTTTATTAACTGATTGAATGGATGAATGTATGTGTGTGTGTGTGTTTGTATGATTGTATGTATGTACACATACTGGATGGATATATATGACTATGTACATATTGGGTGGATAAGCGTATTTATATGTATATGAATAATTAGATGGGTGGGTGGATGGACGGAGGGATGGATGGATGGATGGATAAGTGGGTGGGTAAATGGATGGATGATGGACAGATAGCTGAATGGATGGATGGATGGATGGGTAAGTGGGTAGATGGATGGATGAATGAATGGATGAATGGATGGATAGCTGGATGGATGGATGGGCGGGTGGATGGGTGGATGGATGGGCAGGTGGATGGATGGATGGATGGGTGGGTGGATGGATGGATGGATGGGTGGGTGGGTGGATGGATGGATGGGCCAGTGGATGGATGGATGGATGGGCGGGTGGATGGATGGATGGATGGATGGATGGATGGATGGATGGATGGATAAGTGGGTAGATGGATGGATGAATGAATGGATGAATGGATGGATAGCTGGCTGGATGGATGGGCGGGTGGATGGGTGGATGGGTGGGCAGGTGGATGGATGGATGGATGGGTGGGTGGGTGGATGGATGGATGGGTGGATGGATGGATGGGCCAGTGGATGGATGGATGGATGGGCGGGTGGATGGATGGATGGATGGGTGGGTGGGTGGATGGATGGGTGGGCGGGTGGATGGATGGATGGATGGGCGGGTGGATGGATGGATGGATGGGTGGGTGGATGGATGGATGGGCGGGTGGATGGATGGATGGATGGATGGATGGATGGATGGATGGATAAGTGGGTAGATGGATGGATGAATGATGGATGAATGGATGGATAGCTGGATGGATGGATGGGCAGGTGGATGGATGGGCGGGTGGATGGATGGATGGGTGGGCGGGTGGATGGATGGATGGGCGGGTGGGTGGGTGGATGGATGGATGGGTGGATGGATGGATGGATGGATGGATGGATGGATAAGTGGGTGGGTGGATGGATGAATGGGTAAGTGGGTGGATGGGTGGATGAATAGATGGAAGGATGAGTGGATGCATGCATGGATGGATGGATGGACAGACAGACGGAGTGCCCATGACGGACTGCCAAGTGGAGAGGTGTGACTCTGGCGTGTCTCACCAATAAGCAGCATCACCGCTGAGCCCCACGAGGGCTCTCCTGGGCTTTCTCCCCACTCACCCACCTGCTCTCTCCTCTTGCTCCCCAGGTTTGGTTCAAGAACCGCAGGGCTAAGTGCAGGCAGCAGCGGCAGCAGCAGAAACAGCAGCAGCAGCAGCCGCCAGGAGCACAAGCCAAGGCTCGTCCCACCAAGAGGAAGGCGGGCACTCCCCCAGGGCCCTCCACTGATGTCTGCCCAGACCCCCTGGGCATCTCCGATTCCTACAGCCCACCTCTGCCGGGCCCCTCAGGCTCCCCGACCACAGCAGTGGCCACTCTGTCCATTTGGAGTCCAGCCTCGGAGTCCCCTTTGCCTGAGGCCCAGCGGGCTGGGCTAGTGGCCTCCGGGCCTTCGCTGACCCCGGCACCCTATGCCATGACCTACGCCCCGGCCTCTGCTTTCTGCCCTTCCCCCTCAGCCTACGGGTCTCCCAGCTCCTTCTTCAGTGGCCTGGATCCCTACCTTTCTCCCATGGTGCCCCAGTTGGGGGGCCCAGCTCTCAGTCCCCTTTCAGGCCCCTCCGTGGGCCCCCCCCTGGCCCAGTCCCCCACCTCCCTGGCAGGCCAGAGCTATGGCGCCTACAGCCCCGTGGACAGCTTGGAATTCAAGGACCCCACAGGCACCTGGAAGTTCGCCTACAACCCCCTGGACCCTCTGGACTACAAGGATCAGAGTGCCTGGAAGTTTCAGATCTTGTAGAAGCAACTCTTCTCCATCCCCCTCCACCTCTTGTTGGAATCTGCCTCCCTGAAGCTTCGATACTTGGACGGCAGCGCTGAGAAAGCAGCCAGAGCCGGCCATGCTGCCAGAGGCTGTGGCCACGTCTGCTTCCCGGGCAGCTTAACTCAACACCGTCTACCCCGTTCCTCCCTGGGGCAGGGCTCCTCCCGGTCTGGGGGCAGCTCAGCGCTTCTCTCAGCCCAGCACCATCTCACACCGATTCGAACTGGCATTTTAACCCATGAGCCCCAGACTCCAGAAACGGGGGCCGAGGACTTGCCCCGACATGAAATGAAACCAAACTTGCAGTTGACTTGGGGGTAATAGTTAGGTTGAAATCGAGATGCCGTTGAACAAAGAAGTAGGGAGGCTCAATCCCTTAACTTTCCATGTGACATGCGTCCTTAGCACATGGCTAGAGATCCTTTTAGAACTTCTGAAGACAGATTTGAAGAAGCCCCATCATGGAAACTTAGGCCAATTATACCGTTAAATCAAGAACGCTTATTTGGCAACTTAAGCAGACTTCACAATTGCCAGGGTTGCATGGTAGGTGTAGGGGGCTGTGTGCTCTGTACCTAGTATCTATTTCTTCTTAGTTTCTTCTTAACGAGACTTCGCCCTTCAGCCATTCATCCATTCGGACATGGGGCAGGGACACATTCGGTAGAATGGAAGGCAGGTTACCCAATCCATGCCTGTTCGTTTTCCCTTTGTTTCAGAGTGTTCTAAAGGTGAAGTTCACCCAAACATTGCAGGAACTGCGGGAGTTGCAAGGGGTGTTCCAGCTACAGTTGTGGGTATTTCAAAGAGAAAAGGAGATGGACAGGCTCCCCACCTATCAATATACAAAAGCCAGTGAGGGGGACGGGGAGAGAAAAGGATTTGGAGGAAGGCCCCCATTTCAAACAAACAACCCCTCTTTCAGATTTTTGTTTGCGGTTTTGATGGTGGGCAACACAGCAGTGCTTGGCCTGAGGGTGTTTTCCTGGGGCAGCATCATATTTCTTTCAATACAGTTTGACCCACAGACACAGAGACAGCACGGTGAGAATTTTAGGAAGCAGTCAGGCATTGGGACACTCCTGGAATTGGATGCTTTGGCTTCTGCCTCCTCAGCCTGACTTTTCCTTTCATTTCCAGCTTGTAGAGCTTCACTCATGGGTTTCACGAGGTATAAGGTGAAAGAGAGTGAGGTGGGAAGGCGGTGGGATGCAGGTAGATGGATAACGACTAGCTCCCCAGGAAGAAGAGCCCTGATTTGTAGTGCTTGCCAATTACTGTGGTGTCAATACTCCCACGATGGCTGAGTTCACAGAAGTTGGATTTGGGGAGAGATGTGTGTAACCGGAGCTCGTGAGGCACTAGGAGCGGGCTCCAGGTCCCAGAATGGGAAGGGGTGTCAGGAGGAAGCCACAGTGTGAAGAGAGGCTGGGAGGCATCGGATGATTTTCCTGGGTTCAGGCCAGAAGAGAGAGCACCCACCTCCTGAACCCCCAGTGGGCACAGTGCGATCACTAGGACCCACCGAGATGGTTTACATGCCACTTGGTCATCTCTTGTGGGCCTGGTCGTGCTGGGCTCTGTGACATTAAACCCAGGAGAGGCTCAGAGTCCAGAGTGGGTCACTGATAAACGGAGGGGGATGGACGTGTTGGGGTGCAGGATGGGGGATCCAGACTAGATTCACGGGAGAGGGACGGGGGGAGAGGACATCGTGCTCTGGGTAGGTCCCAAGTTGGGACCAGACTGCATGTTAGTTACACATGCTGTAGACACTCCCACGCTCTGCGGGGAGCCTGGGGTCTGGGGTGTAGACAAGAGATCCCCATCCACAGGAGAGGGTACGTCTGTGCAAGCAACTGAAAGGCAGCTTGATCAGGGGGTCCGGGAGCGCTTGATGGATGGACTTGATGTTCTGGAGGAGGCTGGGATGCAGCAGAGGCTGGGGGACACAAGAGACCCCTATCTCAGAGTCTCTCAAGACTTCTCGAGGCATTGGAAAGAGCGAGGAATAGGATCTTTCAGGAGGTGGCTGGGCTAACCTCCTGAACTCTGGCGCTTCAGCCGTCCAGAGCGGATGCCAAAGGGTCTACTTTCCAAAGCCAGGAAGACTGACAAGGGAAGTGGGGGCAGAAGGAAGGGGCCACGGTCGCACCGTCGCCGCCCCCGTTTCCCACTCCCTGGAACTCCAGGCGCCCATTCCCTGGACCTTCTCAGAGTGAAAAGGATTAAAATATTGAATCCCACTTAAAGTCTGGGTGACTTTTTTTTATTTCCATGGAAGGGCAGACCGGAAAGGTAGGAACAGGAATTGCTCTGTCTGTCCGTCCCTTCCCTCTCTCCCTACCTTCCATCTCTGGGGACGTGGTCCCATCCACAGCCTTCCTCTGTCTGGTCACCGCCTTTTCCTCCCTAAAGTCAGTGAAGCGGGGACATGGGCTCAGATGACCAGCCTCCACACACCGTGGCCTCGCTGGGTCCCCCAGACCTCCTGCCTCAGTGGCCCACGCAAGGATGAAGCCTTCCCATCAACCCCCGCGGCCTCGCCCTGCACTCTACCCCTCCCATCTCTTGTCCCTGGACCACCTTCATTTCCCACCATCTCTCTCCATTCTCTTCTTTTCTCTCTCTCTCTCTTCCTCTGAACTGTCTCTCAGGCTCCCAGGTTCCTGTTTCTTCTTGCTCTATTTTTTGTCTTTTTCCTTCTCCTTTATTCCCTTTGCTTCTGACTCTCTGCTTCTCCACCTCTAAGTCGTCTTTCTCTGTCCCTGGTCCTCTCAGTTGCTGAGTCCCATGGGGCGGCACACAGGATGGATGGGGTCAGACACACTTGCTGTCCGAGCCTGTGCAGCCACGGCTGGTCACGTGACCTTAGGCAACTCATTTTGCCCAGCCTCAGTTTCCCCACAGGGGGCATCGAGACGAGCTACCTCGAGAGAACTAAATGTGATGATTATATATTAAGTAGGGGGTCCTGAAGACTGGTCCACGCTAATAGGCCTATATACATTTATTTCTTTTTGTGGTTAAAATAAACATTCCCCTGGCAGGGTAGCTCAGTTGGTTAGAGCGTTGTCCCTATATGTCAAGGTTGTGGGTTCGATCCCCAATCAGGGCACATACAAGAATCCACCAGTAAATGTATACATAAGTGGAATATAATAGGCAAATCCATAGAGACAGAAAGCAGATGAGAGGTTGCCTGGGGCTGAAGGGAGGGGAGGGACCACTTCATGGGTACGCGTGTCTATTTGGGTGACCAAAAACAGGCCTGAAATTAGATAGTGACCCAACAATTCGACTCCTAAGTATATACCCCAAAGAACTGAAAACAGCTATTCAAACAAAAACTTGTACACTCCTGTGCATGGCAGCGTCATTCACAATAACTAAAAAATGGAGCCCTGGCCAAGTGGCTCAGTTGGTTGGAGCATCATCCCAGCCACCAAAAGGTTGCAGTTCAATCCGCAGTCGGGCACCCATGGGAGGCCTCTGATCCATGTTTCTTTCTCATGCCGATGCTTCTTTCTCTCTCTTCCTTCCTTTCTATCTAAAATCAATAAACATGTCTTTGGGTGAGGATTAAAAAAAAAAAAAAAGCCACGAACTGGCAAACAGAACGACATGGGCGAGGAGCACAGTGATGCGGGGAAGCCTCCGGGCTCAGAGCGGCACGCACCGTGCGACTCCACGTACCCGAAATCCTAGAAAAGGGGAGGTTATCGTGGCAGGAAGCAAACACCGGTTGCCAGGAGCGGGCAGGATTCACCACAGGGGAATCTTTGGGGACCAGAAATGTCCTACCTCTCCATCGTGATGTGGCTCCATGGCTGCGCAGCAGCGCCCGAGCGCGCCCAACTGTACACTTCAAACAGGTGGACTGTACAGTTTGTATATTATGCCTCCACAAATCGGCTGGAAAAGCAAAGAAAGAAAAATGGACTGAGCAGGTGCAATCTGCCCAACACTGGTGAAAGCCAGTCCTGACTCCAAACGCTCAGGACAACCCGCAGGCACACGCAGCTACGTCCCGAGAGGTGTTAGTATTATTATCCCCATTTCCCAGATGAGCACCTCTGGCAGGGAGGGTGGTAACCTGACCAAAGTCCCCATCTAGAAAGAGATGGCACTATGATGTCTGCGTGTCTTGTTGGGACGCACCCCCGTGACCTCCCTGGCACCTACCCCCGTTCTCGGTCCCCCAAGAGCTGCCCCCACCCAGTTGCTCCCTGGCCCAGTGAGCATGCAGGCCTGAGTGACTGGGCTGGCCAGAAAGTCCCTTTAGTTTTGTCCATAAAAATAAAAGACACATTTTCATTTTCACCAATAACTTTATTGATCTGGCTACTTTGAGTAAGTCGGGTGTCTCCTGCGTGGTAGAATGTTAATTGTTCTCAATGAACGGCTCCAATTTGATCACTATCGACCTCAACAGGTCTACCTGACTGGGGCATCGTCCAGCACGGACTCTCCAGCACGAAACTTCGCAAACCACTTTTGACACATTCAATCAGTCACAGCACCTTCTCTGTACACTACACAGATCTTTTTTTGTGTGTTTCAGTTACATCCTTGCCTTTCTTGAAATAATACAGCATACTATGCCAAAAATGTTGCTTCTTTTCTTCCATCTTCAATACTAAAGTGGCTACCCCCAAATTCACCAATTTTGATAAGGCTTTTCTTGTTTAATGCACGCCGATATCACAGCTGTCACAATACAATCTAACAAAATTGTTTTGAATGAAGTTAAAGACAACAAAGCGCTACTAGAGCCAACTTCCAGGGAAAAAACCAAACGAACTTTTTGGCCAAGCCAATGTTTCTCTGCTCTCTTTGCCTCTCCATCTCTCTCCTCGCCTGTTGGTTTTCATCCTCCCTCCTGTCCCTCCTGCTCTCTGAGCCCCTCCGGGGATTTCCTCTGTCCTGGAACAGGACTAATTTAGCAAATGCTCTAATCCTCTTACCCAAGGGCC